ATTATGTTTATTGTTAGGATTACGAAACTTATAATTACAGTTTTTTTGTAAACAAGTAAGAGTATCATTATCTTCAAGTCTAAAAAAATTATTTGACATTTTTGTGCGAGGATTTTTGCAAGGATTTTTGCGAGGATTTTTTGCAAGGATTTTTGCAAGGATTTTTTGCAAGGATTTTTGCAAGGATTTTTGTGTCTATTTATATTTTTTATATGTAAATTTTTTATGTAGATTTTGTTTAAATATATATCAACACTGCGTCGTACAACCGAAGGTTGTACATAGCGGCTTAAAAATAAACAAGTATCGATGCGTAGCATCGAGACGCGTTTATTTTTATTTTATACTATTACCTTAAGATTTGGAACCTGGAACCACTATATTATAAAAATAAATACACTTAAATACCTTAGACTTACTATATTCGTAGTCGTCAGCTGTTGTGGATAATTTAGAAGAATTCTGCATTGATGATAAAGCCGTTCGAGAAAGGTCATTTTCTCCTAGAAGACCCCATGTTCCAAATCAAACAAGATTCAGGAAAGGGCAATTAATTCTAATAGATCTGGAATATAAAGCAGCTTTTAGGGTATATATTTGCTGTTTTCAGTAATTTACTTATAATACTAACAATAGAAATATTGGATTATATTATATTATAATTATAGAAAGGGACTACAAAACAATTGGCAAATGACAGTTCTGATTTGAAATTAGATAAAAAAAAAGAATGGCAGGACCAAAAAAATTTTGTTGAACTTATCATCCTCCCCACTATCAAAAAATATACTAGAATATCTTGACGAAGAAGTTGTTCTGATGCTTCAAAGCAACTATAAGAGTATTTTGATGACTGCAAAAATTAAAGCAGATGAAGGAAACTTGAGAGCAAATAGGAGAAGGACCAGAAAAAACTCTTGAATACAAGATGTAAAATTTTTTAATTTTATTTTTTTAATTTTTTTTTTACTATATAAATTATAATTTTATATATATCTATTTGCTTTTTTGTATTTTTATTTTTTTAGAAAAAGAAAAGAAGAATGGATGAGTTGCAACATATGATTTGAATTAAAGACCCTGCTATTGAAAAGTATCACTTAAGCTTTGTGAGCAAAAATGCTTGAAAACAAGACCTCGCTGAAATAGTCATTGCAACGATTTATTATTCTGATAAACTATTTAAAACAGATATTGAACTTGTAAGAAAGGAACTTAATGAAAATAAATGTCCAAGTAAAGAAGATAGAGAGGTAGATGATAATCATGTAATTAAGGTTTATGCTTCAGCATGAAGATCTGAAAGGATAATTTTTATATTTCATTTTGAATTCAGTTCTTTTTGATAATACTTGTATTGAACTAATTTTACCTTTTTTTTAAATTTTATTTTGAATTTATTTCTTTTTGATAATACTCGTATCAGAATAATTCTACTTTTTTTTTAAAATTTCATTTTGAATTTATTTCTTTTTGATAATACTCGTATTAAACTAATTTTACTTTTTTTTTTTTAAATAGTGCAAAAAGCTCTTCTATAAGGCTAAAGACATAGCCTTAACAAACCAAATTCATAGAATGCAAAGGTACCGACATCAAGAAAATAGTTGAAAAAACAATACAAAACCGCCACTTAATGCTTTCCATTGGACAATTTCTTCATCCTATGACTATAATAACTGAAGAAATATTTCTTTGATGCAGCCCAACAATAATAATTCAAAATCAAATAAAATTAACGATCCAAAATCAGATGGTTTGGTGTCTAATAGCAATGAATTAAATAATGAAATTGTGCCTAATGATAATAATAATTTCAGGCATAATAATAATAATAATACCATGCCGATATAAGTATTTAAAAAAAAATATTTAAAAGTTTTATGAATTTTATTAATTTGGCATTTTTTTTAGCTTCAACGATGTTTCTAAATCTGATCATAGTAATCTTAAAACTGAACAACTGTACGTATTTAAAGTATACTTATAAGGTTTGTAATATATTTATTAATTTTTTATTATTTCAGAACTAATAACTCTAAAACAAACAATTCTGGCACGTCTAACTCCATGTCTAACTCTATGCCTAACTCTACATTTAACTCCACATCTAACTCCATGTCTAACTCTTCTTTGCCTAACTCTACACCTAAATTTACGTCCAACTCTACTATGCCAAAATCTATATCTAATGTGTCTAACTCTACAACATCGAAAAGTAATCGCCAAAAAAATAAAGATTCTAAAAGCTCTTCCAAAAGTTCTACTTCTTCTAAAGATTCTTCTAAAGGTTCTTTCAAAGGTTCTTCAAAAGGATCTACTAAAAGTTCCTCCAAGAGAAGAAATAGTTTGAATGTTTCTACTAGTAACTTCAATTATATTAAAGACGAAGAAGAAGATTACAATAATTAGCAAATGAAAATTTGATTTTTTAGTAATTGCATGTAATTAGTATTAGCGAAAATTGTAATTATGTTATACAATTAGTATAAGCAGAAATTTGTAATACAAATCGAATATATATAATACATATATCTTATGAAAGATAGATATAATAAAATATAAAGCGATACTGGCTAGCTGATATCTAAGCTGAACTTAAATATTTGTAACAAAATTCTATAGAAACTCAAGTATATATATATATACAATGAATGAATTGATTGAAATTTTGTAAGTTTTGTTAAGTATAATAAAATATCAGCTAGTGGATACTTTATAAAAACTAGCTATTTTTTTTCAATGAAGTTAAGATTATCTTAATGATATTAATACAATTATTAAAATTGTACCTTATAATAATTTTATAATAATTTTACTATATAATTATTTT